GTGATGCTGGGCATGTAAGATAATGTCTCAGAGCTTCCATTTCCTTGTCTGTGAAAGGGGAAGCAGATATCTCATTTTATAGCTTGTTAAGGGTTAAATAAAAAGTCCTGGTTCAGGTGCCTGGTATTGAGCTGGGCATGGCACCTGCTTGGAAAATACAAAGCCATCCCCATGCACTCCCTTGTGTCCAAAGGTTGGTTTGTTAAGCCCTTGCCTCTGATTTCTCACCACTCTAGCTGCCCTGGCGAGGAGCCTGATTTCACTCTTACCAACTTCTGACTGCCTAAAGTACTGAGTGTTTTAAAGATCTTTTTATTTTATGTATGGATGTTCTGCCCACATGTATGTAAGTGCACTATGTGTATGCCTGGTGCCTGCAGAGATCAGAAGAGAATATCAGATCCTCTGGTGTTGAGGACAGGTGCTAACCCCCATGTGGGTGCTGGCAACTGAACCCAGGTCCTCTGCACGAGAAGCCAGTGCTGTTAATTGCTGAGCGATCTCTCCAGCCCCTAAAAACAGTTTTAATTACATTTAGTAATTACATTAGCAGGTCAGAGGATAACTTTCAGGAGTTGTTTTTGTCCTTTTACCATGTGGGTTCTGGGGATAGAACTCAGGTCCTTAGGCTTGACACCAAGCACCTTTACCTACTGAGCAATCTTACCAGCCCTGTTTGGTTGCTTGTTTTATTTCCTTGTTTTCTCTTGTGAGACCTGGCAATTGCTCTCACTTCTCCTACCTCATCCTTGTGGGCACCAGATGGTCACTGAGCACTGATTCCCAACTCTGCTGAGTAGCCTGGCCTTTGCCTAGAGCTTCTCTTTTGAGTCTCTGCATGATCAGGGCCCCCTATGGATCACCACCCCCACTGGCTTCTCCATCTGGAAGCTTCCAGAACCCAGTGTGAGATGCGTCCAGCAAATACCAGGTAGACATCAATGAATGCAGCACAGTGGCGGTCGGTTCACCCAGTATACTGCTAGGTGACAACTCAGTTTGCTTAGTTCTCGGGGCAGGGAGGCCAGCTCCCTCCATACCTCATCTCCCCACTGTGACAACTCTCTACCCCTGGGCCCTGGAGGGCTGGGGACACAGGCCTCATCCAAGCAGTGGCCACAACCAACATTGGCCAAGGTGATTAGATTAGTTATTTTTGTCACTGTGGGGATCAAATATCTGATAAGAAGCAACTTCACAAAGGAAGGATTTCTTTTGGCTTGTGGTTTTAAAAATGGCACAGTGTCATGGTTGAAAAGGCATGAGGCAGCTGGTCACACTGCATCTTTAGAAAACAAGACAGCAGGCAGGAAGTAATGCCAGCAATAAGACCTCAGGTCCCATGCTCAGTGACCTACTTACATTGGTGAGGCTTTACCATTAAACATATCACAAGTTTTCAAAATGGTGGCACCAGCTGGGGACCAAGTGTTCAAACACATAAGCCTACAAGCAACATTGCACACTCAAATCACAAGGGTGATAGATCTACTGTAAGCCAGCTGGTGCTTGGGACCTGTGTATTCATGGGCTTAGTTCAGCTTGTTTCTATCTTTGTGCATCCAGTGTTAGGTGAGGAGCTCAGTTAAGGGACGTCAGAGCTGTTTCACAGTGAAAGGTTGGCTCTGTACTTAATGGTTTCAAAAACCGTCTGCATTTTCTGTGCACCTTCATAACGTAGCTCAGTTTTATACCTGATGACTGATACTTTCTCAATGATAATTTTTACATCCTGTGTTTATGTGGAATATTAGTGCCTCTTAGGTTTTAATGCATGCAAATCACCCAGGGATCTGATTTTTATTTTTTAATTCTATTTATTTATTTTTAATGTGAACCAGTGAGTTTAATTAGGATTACTTACAGTAGCACAGGCAACTTATCAGTGGCTATGCGACTGAAGAAAATATTTTTTCCCTTCCTCAGCCACCATTGACCCAGCCCTATAACTCCTCAGGGAGGGGCAGTGCCGTACGAGCCCTTCCTTCTGTTCTCCTTGACATAATGTCGATGGGCCCAGTCTTGTGCAGGTATTCACAGCTGCTGAGAGTTCAAGAGTACAACAGCCATGTCATGCCAGGAAGACAGTGTTCCACATCATTCTCCCCTTCTCGCTCTTACATTGCTCCCCACCCCTCTTCTCTGGCGTTCTCAGAGATGTTTTGAAGATACACATTTGTCACCCCTAGGTGGCATGGATGTCACTGGCTCTTGGCCCATCTGCAGCAGCAAGATGGCAGTTGGAGGCAGAACATAGGGAAACACAGCACTTACGACACACATGCCCTGTGCTTGCAGACCATCTGAAACATCTGTTGAGTCTGGATGGTCCTGTGTAGGGCGAGGGCTCACTGGGACAGCTCTCCCTGCCATCTTAAATTAGGTCCCCACCACATCCTTGTGGAGATGACAAGTGGACCGTTAAGGATGTAATGTTAGAACCCAGCAGCTGCTTTGGGGCTGTCCTCCCCTTCTGGTGGGCACCTGACTGAAACATTGCGAGCCCCTAATAAGAGACTTGCCCAGTGCCAGGACATCTCACCTGGAAAGTGGTTTTACAACAAAGGAGTGCCACAGGCTAGTCCCCACCCCTTCCCTGTCTCCTGCCTGGGAATCAGGGAGCCTGGCTTCCTGTTGTATGTCCATCCTCAGGGAGTGATAGCAGGAGCCGCCCTCCTATGCCGTGTGGGCTCTGATTCTCTTCAGAGACCTCCTGCCATGCTGTCCATGCCATTAATAACTCTTTTAATAAGTTCTTTAGTCCCTGGTAATCCATCTCTAGGTTGTTCTTGAATAAACCGCCCCATCCCAAATCCAATATGGACTATTCCTTTCATCAGCTTTCTGTACTTTTTCTATAAGCTCTGCCTTGCAGACCCACTTTTGGAAGCCACCTTTTGTTCAAGTTAGTGCTCACTTAAACAAAATATTTGAATCCAGATCTGTGTTCCTGGTGCTTATCCCTCACCTGGTGTGCTGTGACCTGGCTAGCGTTGTCCTTAACTGCCTTAGGGTGGTGCATGCAGGCTGTCTAGCCCACGGGAGAGTCCTCTAGGAGGCCCCTGCTTGAAAAGACTTGTTCCTTCACTAGGGGTGAAACACTTGAGCTTTCTAGTCTGTTCCCCAGCCACCTCTCCCTTCTGCATATTTGAATCTTGCAAGGGGCCAGAAAGACTGGGTTCTCCAGAGTTATCAGAGGCAGCCAGGGCCTAGAGGGCAGAGGGCTGGCTCCCATTCAGTGCTGAACAGGAAACGTCAGAGAGAGAGATAAGGAATTGGGCCGTAGGAACACTGGACAATTTTTAACGAGGGGAAAGAACCTCAATTCTGTCTCTGCTCCCCAGTCACTAAGTGAGGGTATATGACATGGGGTGATTTGTATGAAGTGACCACTCCAAGTGGAGCCTGTTGGCTGATGACTACACAAAAACTGGTCAGGGAATTTTTGATCAGAAAGAAAAAGCCAAGGAAAACAAGCCATATTTTCATTTGGTATGGGCTTCCTGTTTCAGCAAAGGAAGAGGAGGAAGGGCCTTCTCCATGTGGCTGGCTGGCTGAGGCTTCCTGAGCAAGTACAGTGAGGCATGGGGACTGACCCAGTTCAAGTAGGTGGCACCTTTCTGTTTGTACAGTTCTCATCTGTTCCCCAACATCCAGGGCTGACTAGTGGGGAGGTGCCCAGGCCTAAGGTCAGCACTGGGGACTGCTGTTGTCCAAGCAGGTAATTGGACAGAGCTTTGCCAGGGATATTTGCACAAGGGTGGATAAATGAAGCTTCAGGGCAGTCCTGAGAGGAAGTGGGGCTTGGATCTGTCCCCTCTGGAAGAAGTCAAAGGGCAAAGTCACAGAATCTTCTAGAATTATCCTTAGAGGCCTTTTCATTGCAGACTCAGGTTTCTTTCTTGCCCCCAAAGCCCAAGGTTGGGGAAGGGTCTGGAATAGCTGTGACATGTGTCCCTCACCCTCCTCTTCATCTTCCTTTGCCCCCAAGAAGCTGATGTTGTGATCTTGAAAAGGGAGACCTCTTGCATAATACCTTCATTCTTACAAAGGCATCCCTTTCGCTAAATTAAGACATGCCATACCACAAGTCCATAAATCATGGTACACTTTAAAAGTGAATACTGAGTTCATCTTATAATTGCTTAAAAAACAAAACAAAATCCAAATCAACTCAAATTGAAGGACCAGCGTGGTGTCAAGACACAAGGAAGGACTTGCACCCCTCCCCACCCCACCCCATCCCCATCCTGACAGGAGACTCAAGGCAACTGGGAACTGTCTAGATCATTCCTACCTGCAGAGGCCTTGCTCCTCAGAATGGCTCCCTCCTTGAAGGTTCTGACTGAGGGGCTGAGAGCCCTGTAGCTTGGAAGCTTATTATCAGCGAGGTGCAAGGTGACAGGCACCAGGAAAAGGAGATCATGTGATAGACAGCTTTTGAAACTGTGCTTCTCAACATGCTTTATAAATATCAATGTGTTCCTTAAATAGTTGGCTGAGCCTTGGAGCAGCCCAAAGACCAGGTGCCATCATATTCTACCCAAATAATTCTTGGCTAAGGAAATTTGATAGGAAAATATTTAGGACTGAAGTCAGTTAAATGAAGGATTGGAAAGGCTCAAAGTCTTTCATGTTCCCAGAAGCTGCTGCTGGTGTTGTGATGCAAGCCTACAGTCCCAACTACTTGAGAGTGAAGCAGGAAGATGACTTGAGCCCAGAAGTTTGAGGTCAGACTGGGCAATGGGGTGAGTGAGACCCTGCCTAAAAACCAATTCCAGTGAGATGGATAGGGTGGGGCATGCCTGTCATCCCACTGGGGAGGCTGACACAGGATTTGGAGTTTGAGGCCAGCCTTGAGACATTGACTCAAAAACCAAAATAGTCTGGGCATGGTGGTGCATGCTGTTTAATCCCAAATCCCAGCACTTAGGAGGCAGAGGTGGATGGATCTCTGTGATTGAGGCCTGGTGAGTTCCAGGCCAGCTGGGGCTATGAGTAGACTGTGTCTCAACCCCCTAAAACAATAGACAAACACAAAAAAACAATAAAACAAAAAATCAAAACCCAAACCAACTAGCCAAACAAAACAAACATCTGTCTTCTAGAACTGTGGGCATCTTTTGAGCTCTGCTAAAGAAACTGTATACACCTTTCTCCCAGTAATCTGAATGACTCTGTCTGTGACCTCACCAGAATCTGCAAAATGTGGGGGTGGGATAGGTGCAGGGACATTGGCCACAGAGGGCTGCAGTAGCTATGACATTCACATGTTCACACACATTTATGTATATATAAAACAAAATATTTTAATTCTCTTTTTACATGGCCAGAAGCTTTCTTCAGTAAGGTTACACCTGTGCAGGTACCAGGTGACAGCATGGTGACACACCTCCATATAGGTTGTCCCAGAGGGCATCAGGGTGAGTCACAATTCTGTACTAAGACCCATGGCCTCTTCAGTCAATGCATCCACAGCTGCAAAAGCCCCAAGATACCAATCATGGGTCCAACCCCCAGAGCAGACTTTTCTCAAACACACACATATAAGAATTTAGCACAATAAATGCGCTCATTATGCACTCTAACATAGAGCACAGGAATACACACTATGGAGTGTAGCCCCCACATCTACAGATGAGAACATGAGGGTTAAACTGAAGCCCGCGGTGATGGCAGGAAGTTCAGAGTGTGTCACTCTGTCAGGGTTCATCTTACACTGACAATTGTCTTCTCTGTCCAGGTGGAGGTGTACAGTCCTGTAAACTGTTATTTTCTACAAGCAGAGATGTCAAGCTGGATCTGAGTGATTATTACGCAAGTCGGCTCCACAGAAGGTGGGGGTGAAGTGTAACCACGTGCTCCTCCGACACTTGCACACTCACACGCCCCAGGGAAAGTGCACTTCCGATGGATACAAAAATAGATTGGCACACTCTGTTGACATAGGGAGAACAATCTTTTAACAGCTTCCCCAATCCTATGGATTCTGTTCCCTCCTCTATTCCAGCATATCACACCAGTCAGAACCAGTGTGCAGTAAAGGCCCTGGGACACGCTGTGAAGTTTGTATGTGCCTGGGAGGAAGACCCTAGCACAGCTGAGTTCTTGCTAGTGGGGATCTGGGAGGGTCTCCATCACCCCCAGCGCATGTCTCTCTACTTGCTCTAAGCTCCAGCTCCTCCTGGAGTCAAATGAAGACTCCCTGGAGTTTTCGCCCTGCTTCTCCTTGAACACACACGGAGGAGAGGTGCTCCACTTCTGCACTGCCAGCAGTAAGCATGGCTCCACTGCACTAGGAGGAAGTGGTCTTGGGCCCTCCTGGGGCCTGTGCTAGGAGTTCTGGATCAGGCGTCTGTAGTGGGGCATGACTTCGTGCTCTGGCAAGTGAAGTGCAAATTCCAAGGCCACTAACACCGGGAATTCAAAGGCAATCAGTTCTCGCCTGTTCAGCCGGAACTTCTCTTCCAGTTTCTGCAAAGTAAACAGAACCATTTCAGTTTTGCATTTAAAGCCTTAGGTTATTTCTAAGTGCAACTTTTCTATCCTCAAGCTAGTGTTTATCACTGTGTCTGCAGTCTGCTGCTGTAACGGAATACCAGAAACAGAGGATTTATAAAGAACAGAGGTTCTGAAGGCTGGGAAGTCCAAAGTCAGGCAGCTGTATCTGGTAAGGGCCTCAAGCTGCTTTCTCTCAGGTTGGGCCCATGCAGTACAGACAAATCAGGAGGGGCAGCTTCACAACCCACTCCTCTCATCCGGCTCGTGTAATAACCAATCTAGTTTGAAGAGAAAGGCATGGATCCTCCTTACTGGCCTGATCTCCTAAAGCCATGCCTCCTCCCAATGCAGTGTCAAGCAAAGTTCAACATGAGTTTCAGAGGTGGGAAAAGACACTCACACTGTCTACCCATCACAGGCTGGACACTAAAGGAAGGAATGACATCTGCTGTGCTTCCTGCCTTAGTCCTGGTGGTGAAGACAGAGAACCTTCCCTGAGGGCCACTGGTCTGTCTGGAAACTCATGCCACACAGTGACATTCCTCTAAGAACCTTACAAGGTGGATGTTGCATTCACCTCCATTTTATGATGGCACACCTCCAAAAGGTCAGGATTTCTGGTCTAAGGTCAAGTGAAGGGAAATTGCTGCACCGAGATGCCAACTTGAGATTTCAAGTCCACCCTTTGCAACTAAGTGATCCAGGCTGAGAGGTAAAACTATAGCAGATCTACCACACCAATAACCACCACACAGGTAAACTCTGCCTGGAGCGAGGTGATTATTTCTATTTCAGCTTGTTTTTATTTTTGCTACATGGTCTCACTACATATCCCTAGCTGGCCTGGAACTCTAGATCAGGCTAGAGTAAAGGTGTTTACCACCACACCTGGCTGAGCCCCAGGTCCTAATGAAGTTATCCCTCCTTCAAACAGCTGAGTGCCCAGTGACTCACTTCCTGTCCACACAACTACACAGATTTTTTGGAGTTAGAAATAAGGAAGAGCAGGGGCAGGGAATCCCCTTTTAGCTAGAGTGTATTTAATTTCAGTCTCAGCTCAACTTTTGGCATAATGAAAACATAAGAGCAGTGGTGGACTGCGCTGAGGTTATAACTGAGTTGGGATCTCATGTTGGGTTTATTGCTACTGCAAATGGCTTGTCAGCCTATAACTGCTGTATTCATTAATAACAGCTTTTGCTGTGTGGCATGTTATTCAACTCTGATTAAATGTGCTTATGATTTAAGTATTACTTTCTGCAGAGTCAATCATATATATGTATATCTACTAATATAATTCGCATGCTCATTTGACACACAGATCTTTTAACAGCTTCCTCAAATCCTGCAAATTCAGTTCCTTAACACTGTATGTGTTCATTCTACCTTATATATGGGGACCCTCTCCTAGTAGATGCCTGAAACCACAGTATCATATCCCATATGCATGTATATAATATATATTAGTATATGATAATTTATAAATCAGGCACAATAAGATCAATAATAACTAAAATGATTATACTGTAGTGAAGTTATGTAAATGTGGTCTCTCTCCTCTCTCAGTTGCTCTTTGTCCTGTGCTCACTCTTCTTGTCATGTGGTAGATGACACCTACGTGAGATGAAGGTGCTGTGAGTGACATGGTCTGTAGGCTACTTCAGGTTACTCAGACATAAGTACTGGGTCAGGCAATCAGACAAAAGAGGTGGCTAAGTGACTAGTGGTTGGTAGTGAATGCCAGGAAGCCATGCAGGACAAAGGGACAGGACACGGCAGGGTTCCATCACACAACTTGGACTACTGCACAAACTAAAACTTGTAAATTGCTTATTTCTAGAACTTCCTATGTAGGAGTTGGGGTTGTGGTTGACTGTGGATAACTGAAACCAGAAGAAGCAAAGCCACGGTAAACAGGGACAGCTGTAAAAGCCTATTGATTCTCAGCTTGGATTTGGCCCCTAATGATTGCTTCCATGTTCACACACCTACTGTACGCATTAAAAGGCTAAAAGATACTTAAAAAATCATTTTGGAAAGTGGCAAACACCTACATCATTCCCTTTCTGCTTTCCCCCTTCACTACTAGAAACACCTGGGCAGTAGGAAGTACGGAACCTTGTGTCAACCAAATCTTTTGTCTTCTATGTTCTGCAACATCTAGGTTCTAGTCTTTCCCAGGGTTAACCAGTTCTTCACCGATGAACAGTCCCGCCCCTGCGTTGAGCATGCTTTAAGATGCAAACCAGTGGATGAATAGCTCACCCCGTTTCCACCGTTTCACACCACCGCCTTCCTTTACTCTATAATCCGCCCAGAGCTCACTGACATCCAAACTGGCCATTTCTAAGCCTACTTACCCTGCCTTGCAATCTCTTCTTGGAAACAGTAATGAAGTGTCTTGCCCATAGCTCCTTCCCTTTCAGCCCCCTGACCAAGCCTGGTGCTTCCCTGCATGGGCCCCTTGGCCACAGAAGGCCCACTGCATGCACTGTGTTGCTCACAAATTGTTGATGCCCTTTGCCCTAATGTAGTGTTATTAAAGTAAGGCCTTTGACTGTAATTAGTCTCAGATGAAGGGAGCAATCATTATGAGATTAGTGTCCTTAGATTTTGCTTTTTCTCCATAATTTAGGATGGAGGAAGACCGTCCCCAGGAAGAGAAACTGGTGTTTCAACCTCGGACTTGCCAGCTTCTGGAAATATGAGCAGTCTGTTTCTGTTGTTTAAGCCACCCAGTCCACAGCACTGTGTTATGGCACCCAGACTGAGATCCTTTCCTCTTGGGAACAATAACAACACTGAACAGCTCTTGATCTGTACTTCAAATTTTCTAATACACTGTAATGTTTGTGGCACTGGGAATTAGAATCTAGGGCCTCATACATACTAAGCAATCATTGCACCAAATCCTTCTCAGCCCTCTATTTTGACACAAGTTCTCGCTATGTTGCCTTGGCAATCCTGCCTCAGCCTACCCCACCAGGCTGGCCACACTCTATATTTTAAACAGGCATTCATATATCTACCCTAGAAAATCAGGCTTCCCTTGCTCTGCTGAGGCTCTCCTTTAAAAGAAGTCAGATTTATAATATAGTATTTAAGATATTTGTGATCAAATACACTAATAGTATTTAAGATATTTGTGATCAAATACACTAAAATCCATCATGTATTAAATATGTAGAAACACTGAATTCTAGAATACATTTCTTGTACACGTTAAATTCTGTATTCGATTATAAAATATAACAAAAATGTTCAAATATACAATAAAAATATAAAAAGTTAAAAAAACGAAAGGAAATATTGGCAACTGACTGCTGCTAGATGAGGAAGAGCTGATCTTCCCTAAAACAAGGAACTCTAGATAGGCTGACAAGACTCAGTACCCCCAGCCATTCTCCAGTGCAGGTCTACCCACTAACAACACAGTGGATAGTAACAGGGATGACAGAGTATATGGGCTCCAGGGGGACGGGGGGGAAGGCTGTGGGAGGGTGCCATTTGGGAAGTGGGTATATAGATGAATAAGATTGTTTGGGATTTTTTGTATGAAATACACACAAAAAATCAACAAATTAAAAAAAATGAGTTGTATTTGAGGAAGAAGCATAAAAACTTGCTCCATGTTAATTAGTAGATGTGAAAAACATTACCATTGAAATCTACCTGATGACTTTATAT